AACTAGAAACTTTTCTGATGAGTTAGAAGTTCTAAAATATACTTTAATACAATGAAAGGTAAACATTCTTTTAAATGAGTCTATAAGTATCTATCTGATATGTTATCGTCAGAGACGACATCAGTGATTTAGTTGTAACTTTATTATTATTGATACCTGCTGATTTATTCATCTGAACGATGCTGTTGAAAACTTTTTTGGATATCCATTTTCCATTAAAACATGTTTTACTATAAAAATCTCATCCTCTAAATCATTAGGAACTGTTACGTTTCTCGCTCTATTTAGTAGGTTCAATGCTACAGTAGCTCTCATGTTAACTGTGTGATCTGACTGGAAATATAAATATTTACCGGAACGTGCTGGCTTTCTGCATTTCCTTAGACTAAATGTACCTTCATTGGGTATTTGAATAAAACAATCTAAAATTTTTAGAGTCCTATCCTTAGATTCTAGTTCATTTTTGGATTTTATCGAGTGTGAAACAGTTAGTTTACTTTCAGAAAAATAACAAACATACCAACCACATTATTATTATTATTATTATTATTATTATTATTATTATTATTTTCCTAGTGAAAAATAGAGCTTCAGTAGCACGTCTCCATTTCATTCACTTCACTCCATTCCTTTTAACCTCACCCCACCACTTTCCATAAGCTTTTATTTCTTACTCACGTGATCTCCTCCATGTCACCTTCAGCTGGGACGCCCAACTCATCGTTTCCCCTTCGCATTCCACTCCATGGCCGGGTCTGGTGCGTGATGACCCTACTCGGCCTTCTCAGTGTACGCCCAATACAATCCATCTCCACTTTCTTCCACTGCATATTTGTTGGGCGATGAGTTCTTGGTCGGTTCGTTCCCACAGTTCCTTGTTGCGTATTCTTTCTGACCACCTGATCTTCAGTATAAAATGGGCGAAGGCGGCAGCTGTTGATGAATGTCTGTAGTTTGTTGGAAGTGCTTCTCCTAACTCTCCAAGTCTCTCAACCATCATACAGAAGCAGTGACTTCACATCGCGGTTGAAAATCCCGATCTTGTTCACGCTTTATGCTGAGTGCAGTGGAGTGGAGTAGATCTCCATACTGATTTCAGACTAATGCAGGATGGCCTGTCTTGCTGTCTTTCCGATCCTGGCTGGTTTGACATCCTCATCTGTGCCACCACCGTCTGCAGTTGAAACGATGCTGCCTTGACTAGTAGGTGAAAGAGACAACTTCCTTTAGGTTTCTCCTAATCATGGTGATTGGTGCTTCTTGTTGTTGTTGCTAGTGGTGGCGGTGGCGGTGGTTGAGTATCCTCATCACCTCCATCTTCTCTACATTCACCTGAAGTCCCGTCTTCGCTGCCTCGTCTCGTCTCCCTCCTCCTCTTGTGTCAACTTGTTGGTTTCTGCCTGTAGATCTTCGAGTTTGTATGACAGGACATCAGACATAAATCATCATCGGTGGCGAAATCTAAATCTTCTCCTGGGGTCTTTTCATCAGTCCACCCAGCGTATGCCCCTCTTCTCACAGCTCCTCATGGTTTGCTGCATGATCCAGTCGACCACAATCAGGAAGATCATAAGTGATGGTAGGTGACAGCCTTGTCTTACTCTTATCCCTGTCTTCACTTCAAAGGCGTCACTGAGCTTCCCATTATCGATCACTTGGCATATGGCGTCTTCATTTAGCTGTTGAATGAGATTGATAAAGGTTTGTGGCACTGAAACTGTAGTGTTGAAGCAGCTGCCTGCCAAATTACTTCTCGGTAGATGCCGTCGAAGGCCCTTTCAAAGTAGATGAAGATGAGGTGTAGTTGAGTTGACTGCCATTCTATACTCTGTTCTATGATGATGCATAGTGTAGCGTTGCAATTTGATCCTCATATGATTTGTTCCTCCTCAAGTCAGCCAGCCAGCCTGTTCCGGTCGCAATTTTGAATCCAGCGCATCCTTGAGTCTCTCCAGGATGATGCGGCCTAATATTTTGCTTGCCCCGGGTGGAAACGAGTGGAGCATGATTCCTCGCCAGTTCTTGCAAATATTGAGGTCCCCCTTCTTCGATAGTTTGACATGGTAGCCATTCTTCCAAACTATTGGCAGGTACCTTTCCTTCCTTCCTTCCTTGCGAACCTTCTGCAGTAGTGGTATGAGCATGTTCGATGCTGTTGTATCTGCGTCTGTTTTCAGTGCTCCTAGCGGAATCCCATCTGGTCCTGCTGCTTTCCCGGATTTCAGCAGCTTTATAGCGTTCAGGACTTCACTTCCGCTTTTGTCGGAGGGCTTCTGTCCACTCTTAGTTCTTTGGCTAGTCTGCTAGTGGTATTTCTGGACGAGTTGCAGGTGGTGGTAGTCGATTCAAGAGTTTTTTTTGAAGTGATCATCCCATTGTTTCATTTGTTTTTACTCTTTAGCGGTAACTAGGTTTCCTTCACTATCCCTCTTTGGTTTCATCTGCGCTGATCTCTTCCCAGATAGTAACCCGGTTCTTTGATATTATATTGCCAGGTCTCTTCTACCTGCGGCCTGTTCTGTTTCATTTGCCAATGTGTCGTAGAAGTGTCTTTTGTCGTTGCGCGCACTCTCCTTCACTTCTTTGTCCAATGTAGTGTTTTATAGATTGTGTTCACTTCCTCTTTTCGTTGTTCATCCCTGCACTACCCTGGTTGTTCATCTTCTGACTCACAATCTTCCTCTCCCTCTCCCTCTCCCTCCTCTATCAACTTCCATGTATCCGTCGAGATCCATTCCTCATCTTGTCTTCTTTCTTCTTCCTTCCTAATACGCTTGTGCAGGTTTCTTTCCACATAGCTCTCAAAGACTTCCAGTGTTCATCCACACAGATATCTTCAGGGATGTTCCTCAACATCTCCCATTTTGTCTTGATGGCTGGCTGATGTGAAGATGTCCTTTGTAGTTTCGCCCTTCAGTTCACTTTCTTTTCTGGGTGGTTGTTCAACTTGAACTGTGGTCTATCACCAGCTTCTTCTTCGAAGGCTTTCAACTTGATTTGGAAGGTAGGTTACTTGCACTAGATAGTGAAGTGAGTGGTGTGAACCTACACCTGCTCCTCTTCTTGGCCTTGCGTCAAGTAGGCTGCGTCTCCACTTTCTTCACATTGAGATAAAGTCGATCTGATTTTTAGTGTAGTGTGTCCTGGTGTCTGGTGAAATCCATGTTGCTTTGTGGATATCCTTGTGCTTGAACACAGTACCTGACTCCAATCACCAAATCGTTGAATACACAGAATTCTGCAAACAATTCTCCATTCTCGTTCATCACCTCACCGAGCGCTTCTCGACCCATGGTTTATTCCCTTCCTGTGTTGTCTCCTCCCAGTTTGACATTCACGTCACCCCACCCATTAGAATTTTGATGTCGCCAACTGGGGTGTGGTATTGTCCAGTACTGATTGCAGTTGTCTGTAGAATTACTCCTTCCCTTCATCTCCATTATTCGCAGGTGCGCAGCGTAGCATTGTATGATTGTGACTTTCCTTCTTCTTGAGTTGAATCTTACTGTCATGATCCTGCAGAAGGAGATTGATTTCCGCTGCGTGAGAGGCTTTGATGCTGTTGGAGACATCATGATAGCCACTCCACAACTCAATGTGCTCATGGCTGTTGTCTGGGTGACAATATCGAAGTAGAGTCAAGAGTTTGTTGAGTCCACTTCCATTCCATCTACTTTCACAGATTCCTAGCACTTCTCATCTATTTTGCAATCTGAGCAGCCTTGCTAGGTTCAACATGGTGCGGATATTCCATGTCCCCATTCTTACTTTCGCTTTCATTGAGTGAGATATGACACATAGACCGACTGGCTTCGCAAAGACTTTCACCAACTGGCGTCATTTCGCCTCCCTCATTCCAGCGAGGAATAATTTTGCTTTCATTTTTTATAGTTTCTTGTGCTTTTATCAACCACATACCTACATCAAATCCTGGACTTGTATTGGGAATTATTCAATACTGTCTCTTCTAAAACCTTAATGTCAAGATTCCTCACAATCAGAGATGCCGGTGAACCTGTTGCAACTCCGTTTCTCTGACGGCGCATTCTACCTTTGAACGTGAAATATGTGAATTCGAAGTATGGCTTCAAAGATCCTATAGTGTTCTCTAGTGAAAGTTAACATTCAGATAATAGATCTTGGTTATTGATTGCATTCCTTACAGTATCTAGACACTCAAACATTGGTGTCCTAATGAAAAGGGAATTCACACCGAAAATTGCCATAATTTTATTTGCTCTTATGCTGATATTTATCACTTCATCGTTGAAATCTTGAGCATTTTTAACACTTGAAAAGATGCTTCACTAAAATGCCTTCAAAATTCTTAAAAAATAATTTTGTGAGTGATAAGTTATCGAATTTGTAAAATCAGTAATTGGCCTGAATGGGATCATACTTTTGTGGATTTTTGGTAGAAAGTAGAATCTAGAAGCTAAGTTAGATGAGCTAATGAAAACCATGTTGCATTTCTAAGTTGTTCCAAGCTGGTAAACTAGTCTTCTTACAACTGTTAATTTATATAAAGTAAAACACATTATATACCTAATGTTAAAAGTGAAATATCTTATGGTGACTGAAATGCAGAAATCAATGCCTCAAGCACTTTACACTCAAAAATATCACCACATGAAGCACTTTAAATAGCGCAAGTGACTAGAAGTACTAAACTTCAAAAACACTAGATAACAAGTTCAACTAGTCAGTAAATATGATGAATGAACACATTTCTAACATATTAGATGGATTCTAGTTGGAATTTAACTACTGATACACAAAAATGCAAGTGTTTATAGTGATGGCAAACGCTACTTGCAAATCCCGAAGAATGTAAAGACTATTATTTGAATGAGGCGGCTTACTTACTGGATCGAGTAGCATTTAATACTAAACTATAGACAAACAGAGGATGTAAAATCAGTGAAAACCAAAATGAGAAAATATATACCTTTTAATGATTAAAGAAACAAATATTTTTTAGTTCAAAATACTTAACATTTTTAATCGTGTTGCTCAGTATGTGGTACACTACCCATACGTTGGGGATTTTGACTTGGATAATGGATACCCAATGCTCCATCAGCTGGCATACTTTTGCCAGACTTCGGTTCATTTGACGAGGCTGTTTTATTGGTCTTTGATCCAAGAGGAGGAGGGGGTGGTGGTGGAGGCATAGGTAACAAAGTTGTTGAGTTGGAGTCATGGGTAGTAGGTGGTGGTGGTGGGGGCGTTTGTAACAAGCTCGTAGGACGTACCATGAATTGAGGAAGAGGCGGTGGTGGTGGGTTACGCATAAACAGTTCTGAAAAAAAAATTGAAAAAGGGTACATTCAGAAAAATCAATGCTGGTTCAACAAACAGAAAGTTTGGGTGAGAAAAAGGGTGATTATAAATGCTATCCTGGGAATGACTAAAATAGTTAATCAAGTTTTTTTTCTGTTGTAAACAGAGACTTTCATAAAATAGAGATGTTGAATTGGTTATTTCGGTTGTTGTCAGAGTGGTCACTTGAGAAAAACAAGACAAAGTTCATCGGTGGGAATGACAAAGAAAACTTTTATTTTTCCGGGCTGTGTACTCTGTTGGTAAGTTGACCTTAATTTATTACCACACGTGTAATGCTAAAAGAGAAAAGTCTTATTGTGATTATCATTGGGATATGATTGTAATAATACGACAGTTACGCGATAGGCACGCTTATTCCTATAACAGAAATCATAGGAATCTCGTACCATACTGAAAACATTCTTAACTCATGTCTCTATATGTTGGGGTACATCACATGAAAAAATCCTATTGTTGAAGGAATAGTAAGTTACAACTGTACTTTTGTTGCATGCACTACTATATTTCGAATTCTTTTACAATTGAAACTTCGGTTTTTTGGTCTAGGCATTCAAAATTCAACCCGTAAGTCACGGGTTTAAAACCTAATTTATCTGAATACGTTCGTAAAACAATGTGAAATAAATAATCGTCGCACATTAAAATATGGAGCTCTACGCCCTCACTGAGTTGTAATGCCCAAATCACATCACCTTATAATGGTGCTTTCATGTACACATCGAGGTCAGATTTCAAATGCTATAGTGAAAACTTATTGTGGTTGCAAATATGCACGCTTAAAAGACAGGTGATGAAACAAGTAGCACATTTAAACCATTGAGCGCTACTAAGAATTTTGTGGGCAGTGGATGTATTTTAGCCTACATCTTATTTGACTTCTAAACGATAAGACCAAGCAAAACAGCCAATTTGAAGGGTTCATTGTGCAACTTGCATTTAACAGACTATTTAACATTCATCGATGGTAACAGAGTGCTAAATAATACAACGGTCTTATTAGCTCAGATAATACATGTTCATAATTCCCTTAAGAATAGGGATGGTTGCAATTCAAAGATTATTAAAAATTCGAAACAGTACATTCATCTCAACCTTTTCTACACTTTTCATTCTGTTTTTCTCTGTCTATAGGAACAAGAATTGTACACACGTCACTTAAAGTTTGCGATACAACAGTAAAATCAAAGCACAACCGAACAGAGATTTTGCAACAGACCTTTTTGCCCAATTTCAAAGAAAACGAAGCTGCAATACAGTAATATTATAAACCCTCACACAAATGTACCTCAAACTTAATAAATGAACTGCGCCTAGTAACATTACATCGTTGATACGCATTGGCATTTCTAGCAAAATAATTTCACGAATTATCGATAAAAGTGTTCCTTAACTCTGTCCGTTAAGCTTTCCTTTGAAAAGTCGTGCTTTCATTTCATAAAAAAACATCATTTCCATCTGGTAGTTTATGAATATTGAATTTCATTTCAACTCGTCGCATGACTACATTTCAATGAGACCAGTACTACTGTCAAATAAATAGGTAAAATAAGTTTCTACCAAGAGTTCAATAGCTTCAACACCGTACACAAGAGACCATTTGAAATATGATACAAAACTCTGACATCTCAGGTTAGGGAAACGTGCTGTTTCTCAGACACCACACACACACAGGACCTCAGACATCAAATATCAGTTCATGAAACTCACCGGTCAAGTTTCTGGAGATGGAACGGCTGTTTTTCGCGGTCTTGAAAGTGGGTGTATAGCATTAGGTGCTAAGGCATAAAGTACACTGCTCGACTGCATCCCAGCTGACAGTCACCTATGTGCTGTTAGACTAGACGGCACAATAAGGACTAAAAGGAGTGGTGGAACTCGTTGTCCTCTTTGTAATCTCTGCTTACACATCGATTAAAAATAAGTCGAATGAGTCCCATCGAAAACTATCTAGCTACCTACTGTGAAAACCAAATGTCCAGACGTGGTTATTGTGGTAGGTGATTTCAGCGGATAAGTGGGTAGGCACAGACAGACCATATTGCAATCAGTCATCGTCGGAGAATCGGTGAAAGATTTCTACTCCTCCCACAACGTGTCTAAATAGCTATCAAGCCTCGGTTCTAGCATGCGTATATATGCTCCAAAATGGACGTCAAAACACTACAGGACCAAGACAGTTACGAGTGCTTCTCAACGACGAGGACGCTAAAGCTGGTTTTAGGTGAGAAACTGACTAGACGTTGTCACAACATGACTCATTCTGAAGAAGCCTGCGGTCACCTTCAGTTTACTGTAGAAACAGCGTTAGAAGCCGTAGTTGACCTTTGGAAAGTTGTAAGGAAAGGACAGTGGATTGCAACGATCTCTTCTGAGTTAATGGTTGCACGTGAGTGCATTTCTGCAATCTCCGAGCACAATGAGGAGTTGGAGCAACTCAAATGTGGACAGAGAAGTCTACCCAGTGACCACGAACAGCAGTGGGTAGAAAAGGCGATAGGTAAGAGAAGGTAACTTTTTAAACCCATCAAGAAACTGGGACGAAAGTACTAACTATTAGTCAAACAATAGAGGATGATCGGTCGGTGATTTACTCGTGTGAAGACGACTGAAACGATGGGCGGAATACTTCGAGGAATAATTCGACTGACCTCCAGCTTCTATTTCATTTTCAGTTATCTAGTAGGATTCTGAATGAAACATTCAGATAGGACCTCCAACACTTACTGAAGTTGAGTAAACTGTAAATAATAGGAAATAAGGAAGCGCAGCAGGTCCATATGGACTAGTACCGAGATACTGAAGGTCGGTGGCCGAGGATTATTGGTCAGATTAACTGAAGTGTTAGCTAGTGTGTGGAAGTTAGATGTGATCCCCTCTAAATGGTTCCAATCACTGATTGTTCTGGTCATCAAGAAAGGGGAGAAACATTCTTGTGACAACCACAACCTGAGGAACATAATGTCTAAGATTCTTAGTTCCATAATCGTTAGAGATCTGAGTAGAGCCCGGGAGAAGCAAACGAGAGAAAACTAGGCACGTGTGTCGACCGGATATTCACTCTTAGTCAGGTTTTGGAACACAGGCACACTTACTGATGTCCGACACTAACTGTATTTCCCGATTTGAAGACGGTATTCAAACGCGTTGATTGAGAGGTGTTGAAGCAATGTCTCTCACTGAAAAGAGCACCGAATAGATACACCATACTGTTAGAGACTGCACCCGAAAACCAATCGGGGTGTTACAGTCTGAGGTGAGTTATCGTGTGAGTTGCGTATCTCGAGGGGTTTCTGTCAAGGATGTTCACTTTATTATTATCCAACTTTATCACATACATACTTATTCAAGTTTTCTTCTCACCAGCTGACTTCACGGAGATTGATATTCATCACAGGAGAATTCTTGGTAGAACTGGAGTACGCAGATAACATAGTCCTATTAAGACACTGACAAGATTCCAGTCTTCTGGACACCTTGAGTGGCGGCGTGGGAATGTTCGGAATGTATTTCTCGCCACCCATAAGCAAATTGTTGCTGCAGAAATGGTCTCCTGAGGTGCCACGGCTAACAATAGAGTGAATTAGTTGAGTGCACTGAACAATTCACGCATCTGGGAAGTCGGACCAACCCCGTTGGGTCAGTGGCTGACGAAATTTCTGTATGGATACAAAAGACTCAAGTGGTTATTGTCAGCTTACATCATCTGTGAAGCTGCTGCGATACCCGACTGTCCATTTAGGGTCTAGTGCACTGTGCTACAGTTTGCTCTGTTCTATTATTTGGCTGTGAAACAAGGCCATTACAGGTAGAGGACATCAGAAGACTTTAGGTTTTTGCTTACCGTTGCCTTCATAGATTAGCCACATCGTGATGTCACGACGTTGGAAATGCAGAAGCCGGGTCTAGAGTTTTAAGAAGGAGAAGAAAGTCAGTTGATGAGGTCGTGAACCTTCACCGGCACAGGTGTTAAGCATATCTAGTCACCGCTTGACTCGTCGCACAATGTTGGCTGAAACAGGTTTCGGCTGGACAAATGTTAGAGAAGGCCAGAATAATATATGGCATCAGTGCGTGAAGTCTTTGGCTGTTGGTCTGTGCCATGTAGAGAGAAGTAGGCTTCCCAGTTGGGGTCTACATGATAACAGGAACGAGTAATTGGGGACTCTAGGTGGCATGGCTCAGGATCAATCTATCCACATACTATATTTATCTTACTCATCATGGTGTTTGGTGAAATCCCCGTGTGAGAAATGCCGAGGTCAGGTGAAGGGTACTAGGCAAGATAGGTAAGTCGATTGATGAAGTTGTGAACCTTCATCGACCCAGATGACTTGAAAATGAATGCCGCATATTGATTCACCGCTTACCTCGACGTACCATGCTAAGGGAAGCTAAATTAGGTTGGGAGAGGATTTTGGGTGGTCAGACCAAGATGTGGCATCACTCTATGAAGTCCCTAACAGTTCATCTGAACCGCGTGTGGAAATAAAGACTACCTGAACAGGGCCCCGAGACAACAGAAATCAGAGGTTAAGGACTCTTGGTGAAATGGCTGAAAGCCGGTCACAGTGGCGCAGATGTATTCACTTTTCGATGTCTTTTAAAGCCCGAATATTTGCGCTAGCCTTTATCTTCAAATTGCTTATCCTCTTACACAACTTTGTTTATTTTGACGTAAGCCTTTTTCTATCCACTGTGTGTCAACTCGAGTCGATGCACTTGTGTGCCAGGTTTTATATTGATTTGGTTAGTGTCATGCTGAATTCCAGTATCCTCTCATTTCTCCTTGCTTTCTTATGATGACCTTTAAACACTTTTGACTGCTTTCTTCTTTGCTTCTTCCTCTTGGTGCATTCTGGCTCCATATGGTGTTATGACGTTTAGCAACTTGGACCATTATGCTGCTAGGTCCTAAGTCGATAATTGTGATTTTGTCCATTTGCTCGAAATCATTTAGAAAGTCGTTCGTTGTAGTATCCATCTTTTTATGCTTTCGGTTAGTCCATGGGTTAGGTTGTCAGAATGAACACATTGATCCACTTCAAAATTTCCCAGTCTTTCCAAGATATGAAGTCGCAAGTTGCAACACGAACTTTAAAGGCTTTCTTGTATTGAAGTACCACAAAAGACAACAATCGGAGTGAAATGGAATGACATCAAAGTAAAACTTAGGCACTATTGTAGAGTATAACTCCACTATAGTTTTTTGGATATGCAGCACGTAGTGAAACAGCATTATTTACTGATGATGAAATAGCTATGGTCAGGTGTCTGGATATTTTAGGACATTGATAAATGAGTGAATCCGCTGGGGGCGAATTTTAATCCAAGAGAATCTTCTCACAGGCAAATCCATAAAGGTTACATAAAAAGTAAAATAGATTTCTGGTTAATTAAGCGTGTAGAGTGTAGCTTTGAAAGTTGACAACTCACCCTACAGTCTAGAACAGTCAGAAATTCCATCTTATTGGTGCATCGTCAATGAAACTATGTGCCTGAGGTTTGGGTTTGTTATATTCAACTGTAATTATTCGCGTTTGATACAAAATTGTTTCAAATATCGTACATAGCAGATATTTGAAAAGCTAATGACTAGTGTATGGAGTCTGGAGTTTATTAGGATGAAAAGGCGAAACATTCTATACACACACAGTGACTAGCGAAGTGAATCTTTGATACTAAAACAGACGAAGCTCTTCAAACCCACAGGTTATACCTGGACGTGGTCAATAGACTTATTGGTCGTGAATCCTTTCACGTAAAACAACAATACACCACGATAGGCACTATTGGTGTATCAGATGACTACTTATCCTCAGCACTAGAAAGACTTACGTTCACGGTCTAATCAACCAGAGAGCATAATGGTGTTAGATTAACGTAGACCACTAGATAATAAACATTTGGCTAGTACTGAGATATAAGGGGAACACTGGTTACTCTTCAGTGACTGATCACCGTAAACATCAAAAATAAATAACTTGTACAAAAATCGTCAAAAACACTCAATGGCAAATAGACATCTAATAAGTTGTAACCCACTGTTATAAAACACATCACTTACCTCCAGGGGGTGGTGGTTCGACAACTGGTGGTGCGATTTGTATCGGAGGTGGAATAACCGGCATTCTGTCACCAGATATCCTGTCAGAAGCAGAGTCTATTGATGACTTGTTAGTAGGAGGCGGTGGTGGTGGTGGGGGTGGAGGGGGTGCCATGAAGAAATTCCCACTGAGACCAACCGCCATAGCTTTAGTCAGTAAACTGGTTGGCGGCAAAACAGGTGGTAGTGGTAGACCTGGGACAGGAGGTAAGCTTATATCACCAGTTTCTGTTGATGAGTGAGAACCAGCAGCTGCTAGAGCTGCTGGTGACTTTCCCCAGTTAACTGTTAATCGATGACCACCCAAAATCAACCGATCGTAGGTTTTTTCAGCTGCACGTTCTGCAGCACCTCTGGTAGCGAACTGTATGAAAGCACAATGCTGTTTAGCATGGAGATTAACGGAACGTAGTTCACCGAACTGGTAAAAATGATTACGGAGATCTTTTCCGTCATGCCATCCGGAATACCACCAATATACAAGGTGGTTATTGTACGATCCTCCGGAGGAGTAAGCTTAGGCATCGTGTCATATTTCGACAATAATTTGGCTGCTACTGGATCATCATGACCATAGTAACGATCTCTTAGCTTCTGATCAGAAAGTGGATCATCCGGATCGGTGGGCTTTTCATGACGATAAGGACACTCTTCACCTCTTCTGCATTCACCCTTTACCCAGAAAGAGCATATATGAGGACGATTTCTGCGGTAATAAGGTGCAGTACGGGCTAACTTTAACAGTAAGTCCGTACCACCACTGCCACTAGAACTACTAGCTAAAGCTGTATTTGAAATAGCTTTTCCGATTAATTGATGTCCTCCATAAGGAGCTGTTATATCACCTTCCACTTCCAGACTCTGCTCAATTTGCTGGTGAAAATATTCTCGGTTAACATCATTTTTCGGTAGCTGCTGTGATAATCGAAGCGCTTTGTCACGAACTTCAACAGGCAGACCATACTCGAGGTCAAACAAACAAGTCTGACAAACATTCTTAATTTTCGCACAGCTCTGACAGACTTCAGTTTTCTTAAATCTAGCCTTGGGACCAGGGCACCAGCGAAATATGGTAAACGGACGGTCGCAAATTTTGCATTCTTTCCCGTATTTTTCCTTCATCATTCTCACAAAGGGGCTTGGTCCTAAACATGTTTCACACAGGATGGGAAATGACTGAAAGCAAGGGAAAACAGATAATGGTCTAAATTACTCAACGCCGAATGTAATGTATCAAACAGAAAAACCAAGTGAGTTTTACCAATGATTGGTCAATTATTTAGCTAAATAGTACACAAAAATATCTGGAATTAGAAAAAGAATGAAGACAATTATCAAGAATGAAACCATGAAGACTAGAATTATTGTGCAAAACACACTATTTCTGAGATGTAAAATAATAATAATGGAAAACGGAACTCAGTAGCTGTGTAAATGTTTATGTAAAAAGGTATAAGAAACACCTTTATATCAAGCTTAATGATACCGCCAAGCTATCCTAATCTCAGTATGTACAGTCGGGTTTGAACCTGTGACCCAGTTTGAATATTTTTAGTACCATTAACCACTTATCAGTGTATATCATGTTAAAAAGTTTCTGTTGTGTGCATATCGTCTATCCGGTTTATCACGGACAAACGTCAGTACCACTTTTACTTGACACCTCTCAGTATTTTCAGAAAGAGAAGGAAAGCTCACCAGAACTCTGGAATCACAAACTTTCGATAGATACCATGTCTCTAAGACACGTATACAGCAACATAGTGTGCTTATCAAATTCGTATTACAAGTATCACGAAACTGAGTGACCAGTTCAAGTAGACTCACTAGTGTAAGCATAGCATTAAGTTGTATGGCAGAAAGTACACTTCTCCACTGATTATCAGTTAACATACGTCTATGTGCCGGTCGACTGAATGGATCTGTGAGACCAACTGATGCCTGCTTGTAATCTCCGTCTACGTATCCAACGACTCCAGTTCGAATGATGCAAAAAACAGATTCGATGCAAGCCTGTCAACCTTGCTACAGTAAGCAAAGTGTTCAGAGGTAGGCATTATGGCAGGTGACTTTGACGCTCAATGAGGGAAACTCAGTCAATCGAAAATGCATATTAAGAGTATTTACGAAATCCCATGCCAACAAACCAACAACAGTGATCGTATGTAACGATTTCGCTCCAACAGTCACTTGTTTCTGGCCACCATTAACTTTAGACATAAGGAGAGACGCTGTCTCAACATGGTGTCCGCCGACATCAAACCAACGATGGACACAGATCGAACATATTCCCATGAGTCATAGTTCAAGAAGATTCGTGGAGGATTGTCGCTCTTCCTGGAGTACCAGTTTGGACGCCGATCACGCACTAGTACGGACTCATGTGTCTGCGCCCTACTACCCGCAGGAAACAGGCAATAGTAAAGCAACTTGTGTATGCTCGATTGGATGATGAGGACACCAAATACGCAATCAGGGAACAGTTACCTAAGCATTTATCTGAACATGACAACAATGCTCTTCCTGAGGAAACCCGGCATGTTATTAAAACTGCTGTAGAACCAGCAGTAAAAACAATTGCTAACATACAACAAAAGGTTAGCAAACGTCATTGGATTTTCGCAATATCACTCGAACTGATTCACGTGAGAAGAATGATTCCAGCTGGCTCTGACCACGATCAAGAGCGAAACCAACTCAAACATAAATTGGCCAACAGTCTTCGCTTGGGTCGCCAGCAGTGGTGGCTGGCAAAAATGAGGAAGATGGAGAAGCCATCAGTGTCACGTAACACGCAGCAACAATACAGGTTTATTAAAGATACAGACAAGAAGACAACTGTGGGTGAAACTATCAACGAAAAGGATGGAAGCTGATAACCTCCTACAACAGGCGACTAGAACGTTCACCATCAGCATCATCAGCATCAACATCAACATAGGACCAGGCACTATTGCGTAACGGTCCGAGTTGCCACACACTATATCAGTACATCAAGCGAAAGGCAGTGAGGTGCAAGATGAAGATAAGAAAATTCAGTCAAAAGAAACATAAAGTACTCAAAGAGAGAAACAAAGAATGAGAAAATGGTGAAATTCCATATAATATTGAAATAAGGATAATGTATGTATACATCTGCGCCACTGACATCCGTTCTCAGCCATATCACATAGAGTCAGTCTCCAACCACTGGCTCCTCTTGTCCAACGGACCCCAACCACCTAGTCTGCATCGCCCCCACATGGCTCAAACCAACAGTCAAACACTTCACCTAGGACCTTTTTCCAGCCTAAACCTATTTTGACCAACATTGTGTGACAAGGCGATCGGCGACTAGGCATACGCAACACGTGTCCCAACCATCTCAATCGATGAACGTTCATAACCTCGTCAACTGATTTACACCTTCTCCCTAAAACTCTATACCTGACGTCTGCGTTACTCACATGGTGACACCACGCAATACGGCCTATACTACGAAGGTAACGGTGGACAAACAATTGAAGCCTTCTCATGTCTTTCACCTTCAGTGGCCATGTCTCACAGTCACAAAGTAGAACACGCCGTACACGCGACCCTTAATGGACAACCGGATATCACGGCGGAGCCACACGTGGTGTACATTGCCAAAAGCCAACCAAGCCTTTTGTATCCGTGCAGAGATTTCATCGGCCACTGACCCACCAGGGTAGGGCTGATCCTACTTCTCAGGTAAGTCGAGTGGTCGACACACTCAACCACCACACTCTCCATTGTTAGCCGCGGTGGCGCACCGTTGAAGACTAATCCTGGTGCGACAATTCGCATTTAGGTGGTGAGAAACGCATCCCAAACATTCTCTGCATCTTGTCAGCGTCTTCACCTAACACGACTATGTCATCTGCATATTCTAGGCCTAACAAAAATTCGCCTGTGATTAGGTCAACCTCTGTGTAATCAGGTGACGCGAGAGGGAGACCTCCTTAAGACTACTCATGATACAACTCAATACGAATGGAGACAGTGGGCACCCTTGGAGGACACCACTCGATGAGCGTTGCTCCCTCCACATCTCACTATAGGCTCTAACACTCCCACAAGTGTTCGAGTAGAGAGCCTTCAATCACGTGGTGTACTTACTCGGCACGCTTTTCACTGAGAGACATTCCCATAAGACTTCTCGATCAGGTCGAGAAATACAGCTAGTGTCGGGCGTCGGTAAGCGTACCTATGCTCCAGGACCTGGTGCAGTGTGAATACTTGGTCGATGCACCCGCAGTAGGGTCTAAGGCCTGTCTGGTTTCCTCGCGCCCGCTGTTCCCTACAACCTTGGACACTACTTTTGTCAGGCTCATTCCTCTATGGTTATTACAAGAGGACTTCTCACCTTTCTTGAAGACTGGGATAATCAGTGATTTAGACCAGTCAGAGGGGATCGTATTTGATTCCCATATACTGGTTAGCACTTCCGTTAACCTCACTAAGAGCACTCTACCACCATCCTTGTATGCCTCAGGAGGTAGTTCGTCTGGTCCCACCGCCCTTCCTTGTTTCAGGTTGCCTACTGCCTTCTCGACTTCTGTCAGTGTTGTTTAATTCAGGATCCGACTGGATAGCGGGCAACGTAATGGTGGCTGGAGGCCAGCTAAACTGTTCTGCGAAGTAATCTGCCCATCGTTCCAGTCGTCTTCCCTGCGAGTGAATCGCAGGCCAATCCCTCTCCGCCAATAACCTCACTAACCGCAGTTGACCTTTTCCCCAAGTCTCCTTAATAAGTCCAAATAACTGTATACTGTTACAAATCGCCGCCGCCTTCTCTATCTCTTTAGCCTTCGCTGCCCACCACTGTTCGCGGTCATTGCGTAGACTTTTCCTCAATCTACTCTTAAGTTGCACTCGCTCAGAGCCTGCAGGCAGGGATACGTTCACGTCCATCTATTAGTTTGTAAGAAGCTGCTGAGATTCACTGACTCTCTTTAGCCACTATTTCAGAGTAGGCTACGGTCTTCAGCGCGGCTTTCATAGCACACTGGAGATGGTACCAAGCTTCTCCTGAATGAGTGCTAGTCTTCTGACCAAGTCTACGCTCGGATACAGAAGGCCCGTTTCGCATTTGTCAACCTGCGTCACCGGTCGCTCCTGCAAGTTGTCCGATTACCTACCGAAGAACGAGTATACTGCACTACAGTTCGTTCTGTCTCGTCGTACGCCTGTTAGACATGGCCGTTAAACGAAAAAGACATGAAGCGATTACAGGTGTTCGACCATGGATGGTGTCTTCGCTGCATCACTCGTGTTTCGTGGAATCACCATGTGACTAGCGTTTAGGTCAGGAGGAGGATACTAGCCATGATAGGCAAGTCAGTAGATGAGGTTGTGAATCTTGGTTGACTGAGATGGCTTGGGAATGTGTTGCGCACGCCAAGTCACCCCCTGTTTCGACGTGCCAGTCTATGGGGAAGTTGGATTAGGTGGGAATAGGGTTCAGGGTGGTCAGAACAAGACGTCGCACAAGTCGATGAAGTCCCTGACTGTTGTTCTTAGCGGTGTTAAGAGATGTAGACTGGCTGTTTTGGGTCTCTGAGATGGCAGGAATCAGAAGTTGAGGATTCTTGGTGACATGGTTGGAAATCGGTCACATTACCACAGATGTATTCACTCCATGACGTCTTCTAAAGCTTGAATATTCACACTGATTGTTATCTGCAGATTGCTCTTTCTCTCACACAGTTTTGTCTACTTTGATATCACCCTTTCTTATCCACGTGTCCTTTGTGTACTATTGCGAAGTGTGGCAATTTGGGAGGATGCACTTGTATGTGAGGTTCCACGTTGATTTTGTTAGTCAGTCACACCTATCCCTACTCTGATTTCGGATGCCATATCAGGAATTATATTCAGCAAATGAGCTGGTATTCTGTTTCATCCACTGGGAATTAATTTCTGCCGAGAATGACATATTAACAGCTTCGAAGGAAATTAAAGTAGTTCCGATACCCATGCCCATACCTCTCTGGGGCAAGTGTGAATTGCCGGAGGACCTCAATAAGGTCTCCATTTTTAAAAGTGACGTAAAGGTGTTGCCTCCTGTGATTGAGTCACCTTCGGAGGCTTTCACTGGTGCAAATCAATTCACCTAGAAGCCCAGAAGGAGTACTTTAGGTGCTGCATGTGTTTTGCATCATAATATTATTGCCAGTTTGAACAAAGGTGATAAGTATGTAAGATCTGTCTTCTTATGTTATGCTTCTATCTTTGATTCACTCTTCCCTATCCACGTAATCTTTGTGTACTACTATGACTATGCAAGTTATGCAACATGTTATGACTAAGAACACTTATATTTAGTTTAAACACACCAATGTGAGTGTATTATGGATCTACGGTACTTTTCTTCATTGGCGCATAGCAATCATGTGGTATCTACTTTCGGTTTATAAACGTACGAGTTTGAAGACTTAATGCAAAGATTTCAGGCACAAGGGTTTGTGCAGTCAGTAAAGACAAGACTGTCGATAGGAACCCGTCTATGCAGAACGCCTGGAATAGGTTTAGAATTATGTTCGCAAAGGTAACGATGTTTTTTATTCCATAGTTAACCCCTATATAATGTTCACCCCCTGCAGTTTGATAAGGGTGCTCAAAGACTGTTAGAGCAGAGGAAATATTTGTGGAAACTTTTAGAAGTCAGATTACAGCGCTGCAAGGTCCGAAATTTTTATACAAAATTTTAATTACATGTTCTCGAATATCCTGTGAGAAATAGTTCGTTAATGATGGGCAAAACTGTCCTCATCCATTCGAATGACAAAAACGGTGTAGTTTAACGTATTCAAAAGCGACGGCTTTTAGTAACACTTCAAAGAGGTCTCAGCAGGTCGAGTTACGTGCCCAACAGCAGTACTAATACTGCCCAGCCAACAAGTAAAATGCGCAACAAAGACGATCTTTCGGTTACTTAATAGCCTTAAACCAGGAAAATCCCTTGGTGTTGATGGTCTCCACACTAGATTGCTAAATATTAACTAGTTGACAATGTTACTGAGCCAGTTAACGATCTTTCCAATAAATCTTATTCCCAGACTCACCCCTAGACGTTCAAAGATACCATAATCAGTTCAGTTTTCAAGGTTAGTAACCGTCAGCTAAAATCCAACTATAGCAGTAAGAGTTTAACTAGTATAGTTATAGGGTGCTTTACCACATCCAACCAAACAATTTTTTAGCACTGCAGTGACATAGTTTTTAGGTAGTACACTCCTGTCTAGGAAACCTCATACCAAGATATGAATGGGTTTCAACCCAAGATAGCAAACTTCTAACCGACGCTGTGATCAAAGACTTAGATAAGACTTATGGGAAACTGCTAAGAAAGCCCTCCTCGATCGGGTTTGGTCCTACGTTAGGAAACTATCAGGCAATTTATGTATCACAGGAGGGTTCCGAAAGGAACAATCCTGGATCTAACTTTCATTCTTCATGTCGACGAAGCACCAGAAATACTCAGTCCTGTGCTAATGATGTAAAAGTCTGAGGAGTCCTATGAGATGATGATGATAAGCGTGGAATTCAAGCGGATTTGGATGAGGTGCCCGGAAATAAACTCTAGCAAAAGTGCAACAACGCACACTGGTTACATTAATTATTTCCAGTATTATGTTGACGGTAAACTGTTATTGACAAACCTAGAAAAAGACATGTCACTGTGAGACATAAACTAAAAACCTCCACTTATTGTAAAGCAGATGCAGTGAAAGGTTTCTGTGCGGCGTGTTTTTACACAGCTGTTAAAAGCTTAGACCAGGATACACTAAAAACACTGCAATCCACATATATATTGCCTGCCTAAGAGCACTGCATCCAGGCATTGCCTTTCCTTGAAAAAAATGCCGACGTACCTGAGAGCGTTCAAAGGATATACACTGAAATGGTGGCTGAACTATCTTATGAAGACATCAAAGTCGACTGAATACATGCCCATTGTTTTATAGTAGGAAGAGAGGCGACCATATACTCACATTCTGTAACTTTAACAATAACTTCGATTTTGATTTTAGAATTGGTTACATCCAAGGCTATTACAAGAAAACTCGAAAACCACGACCGAATCAACTTAACGTAAACCTGAGTTGATCGCAATAAGTGATCAACAAGTAGAATTACCTACGTTAACGAAAAATATCAGCTTTTTCGGTGAACATATCTAAGGAGACATTGAACAACTAATGCAAGGATCAAGATGGAACAACCGGCCGAATACCCTTATTACTGAGTACTCAGTATAAATGTTCAAATGGGGTTGTGTGCGATTAATGCAGCTCACTGAAAATAGATCCATATGAGCAGTACCAATTGCTTACAGATTTACTGGGACAATTGGATTCCAAAGAGTGTAAGCTCCGTGTCGAAGGGGTGGGTGTAAAGTACAGGCAGTAAGCTTTATGATAATGAACTGATACTTGCCCTAAGTCTCATTAATCTTTTAGCGAAAATACTGTACATAAAACATAACGCTTTTGCTCTAGTCCAATGTCGCAGCCTCAGGTTTGACGAGTTATATTGGTGCAGTACTGTAGGACTGGTCCGTCTGTAGCAATATGAAGCGAAAAAGTGATCCTAGTCACTGGATAAATGATAATATGGGAGGTGATATTGTCAAACACATCGTCTTTCCCTATGAAAATATGAACTAGGAAGGAAAGTTTGTAGGGGATCACTTTAGTACAAATGAGATAAACACTAGTTAGTTTTCAGATGTTCCAGCTTTATATAGGACTTTAAATCCAAGTGCGACTTTTCAAAACCAAATCCAGCACCAGTAGTGGGAGTAAATGGAAACCTTAGTCTACGAAACCTTGCGTCTAGCTTTCAAGCTCTGTTCCTTTTGTCTGGTGGCATACTTACACCATTTTCAAAGCAGGCTTAACAGATGCACCATGGAAAATAAATGCTGTTTTAGACCGAATTAGTTAAATTTACTTTAATAGCAACTACTAGGCAGCAAGAACTTACTGAATCTTCCCAATTCTGACGGTTATACGTGTTAGCACCCTTAGACGCTGCCATTCCAGGCGCAGTTAAACACCCGCCTGCGTCAAACCTTAACTGACTTTAAATGCCCAATACCTGTGCAAACCCGCTCATTTCATTGTGATGATTTATTGGTCTCCAGGACAATTTCAACTGCTCGGTGGATTCCTATTAGGTAAATCCAGTCACTCGCTTACTGGTTCTTTATTAATTTCAGCGCGTAATTTGACGTCAGTAAGAGTTCACATTGTCATCTACGAACTTTTGATGTTGTTGTCACTGAGCTGTATGATTCAATCTCAAAGCTTTTATTTCTATTCCGGATAACATCGTCGGCAAACCTTTAGAAAAACTGCTACGGGGAAGTGAAAGGTGTTTTTCTGGGTTTTACGCCCCTTTTAGTGGAAAGCCTGCACTGGTCGCCATGACCGAAGTCCCGGCCCCAAAAACCTGAGATTGCAAGGATAGTCAGATGTTAGTAGTTGGCTCCATTCTGGAAGTGTTGCTACCTGGGATCCATAAGACAACGGAAAGTGACTTAGGCACATCTTATATGCACTACAGAATTGCAAGCAAGCTTCCTGCCTTCCTTTCAAAGTGTGGGAAGAAGGAGCTAGTGAAGCTTTATCAGAGGGGAAATTCCATCCTCAGATCCTAACTGAAAGAGCAGGCGCGGATCTTGTTCAAGCCCTCCTATAATCCACCTCTTAAGGAAGGCGTGATACGTAAGGGGGGTTCTGACTGAAGCCAAAAGATGGTCTTTTGTGATAAAGGGGATTGTAAGTATCATAACACTCTACGAGCACATAGCCTGTGATCCTTCTATATTCTTTACCAATCGCAGATCACTACTGACTAGGTCACCCATGTACCGTTTGAATCGCAGGCTTCAGGTTATTCCCTTGAGGTTGGGAAAGAAACCCAATGGCTCCTTGTTCACCGCAATGCAACAGTACGTGGGAACTCGAAAACTGTCACTCACGGTAGCCCACAGAGTTCTCCAACGTCCTTATGAGAGGCACTTGTCTCCACTAGAGAGCAAAAACCAGAAATACACCCATATCTTTGACTTATCGTCGTCTTATACCCCCTACGTGCACAGTTTTAGATAGGCCCTCCCAGGGGACATAGGTATCTATTGGTTCCTGCATTCCGCCCCGAAGCCTCAGTTCGTCAGTATGCAAAGATGAATGAGAATTTGGTATCGCTAGTGAGCCACCTATTAGGGCAGGAATTGGAAATCACTCAAGAACGGAACACTGAGGCCCCACAGTTAGTGTCGGGAGACAACCGTGTGTACGGGAGCCAACTCCAACTGATTGCAACCGAGTGTTAAGGTAATCCTCAAATCAGCCGAGTCAAATTCCATGTACACGCACGGGCTGATTTTTGTTTCACAGTTCACCACTATTAATCATGTCAAAGGCTTTGGAGAACTCGCGTAACAGTATGAATGGGCTTTCAGTCCTCATAAAAGAGAGCCCAGCTGTTCCAGACAGTCAACAAATTAGTGTTAGGTAACCTGGTGTGTAGGAACCTTACCGAATATCCTTCGGAATCGAGTTCTTTAGCAACAAAACACCAGATGGGTTGTTTGCCTCTCCTTTACACTCTTTGCAACCAAAGAGATATGGAGGTTGGTCCACGGTTGGAGGCGATTGGTTTACTTTCAACCTATATATACTGGGACAACTATCGATCGCCTCCAAACACAGGCCAGTCTGCTGCCTAGAAAGGGATGTTTGGAGAGTCTTGCTGGTGTAGTGCACAGAACACCGCTACAATGGCCGTTATCTTGCGGGTGTCGTCAGCCCTCAAAACTTTGTGATCCTCATGATCCACGTGGCTTAGAAAGCTTGGACTATAAACTGCCTAGACCCGCCCGTAATTCAGAGATCTAGCTGGTATGGGGTCATCTTTAGCATTCGACAGAAGTTACCCGGAAACCCCTGTACCTTTATGTCGCCTGACTCACAGCTAGTGCAGATCAGGATCCCGTATTGTGAGTAAGAGGTTACTCTCCGTTTTCATAGGTGACCACGTTCATCAATAGTTCGCACATGTGATCTGGGTCAAATGAGTAGTAGACCTAAAGAGAGGCTTAACCTTCTAGACTATGTCTGGCCTCTCGTAATCGCTTTTCCTCGACTCCTGAATAGTGATTGCGCAGGGGTAGGCAACTTGGATGTAGAGATCTTTAAGGAAAAGAGTGAATGATCACTACGCTCAAGTAAGCTTTGGAGATTCAATTTGAATAAACCTATGATCCGATCGATAAAAACGTAATCTAGCCCGAATGCCTTACTTTTAGAACCCCGGTTAATGCAATCAGAGATATGCTCATCCGGGCAATGTTTCTGGGATGATTCAGTAGTTGTTTAGCAATGATAGATGAACTGCTAGTGACTGTCTCGTGAAAAGATAAAATCACCCATAATGAAGACCAGAGGGAAGCTCAAATCCAGAGGTCCTTAGGAATCGTCGCGGTGGCTCCTGAAAGGTGACATGAAGCTAAATATAGATGTAGACCTCTACTCATTGTGTTAGAGCTATTCACTGCTTTAGCCTTCTTATCTCTATTCTTCTCGTTTGTCTTGCGGCGCTTATCGAACTTGACAGTCGCCTTCCCAGTTGAAAAGGTGTCTTTAGGAACTACCCTCATGGAAGAAGCTTGTAGCAGTAAGTCACGAGGATTAATTGTTTCCTATGTCTCTGTTTGTGCGGTACTGTCGGTACTAGGGACCGAAAGGATCGCAATTTTTGACTCCTGACTGCTGCCATCATGAGTGGTCTTTAGGTAACGCTGCTTTTTCTTAATCGAGTCATTTCTCATGGAAACCTCAAATGTTGGATGCCCAGGGTGATATCCACTCAGTTTCTAGCCTTTCCAGTCTTAACCTTTGAGCCTGCAACATGCACGCAGGTGCTAGTCACCAGTAAACGCGCTTTTCAGCAGTACTTTGCAGTACTCAACAGGCTGGCCATGATCACAGGAGTAGTGAGTTCGCTGTGAACAGAACTAGCAGGCCATTTTTGGAGGAAGGGAAGCTGACGTTCTTCTGACATGCAGTAAAATCATTAGTTGATACCGTCATATTAGGTCACACCGGATCGGAAAAGAGTAGATTGTGGGGTTCAAGAGAACAACAAGGTGGCTCAAAAAATAAAACTGCTTCCACATAAGTGAAAGCAAATAGCAATACAAGCCCCAGCACATTATTTGCCTCAGGTGGCCATAATACTATTAAAATCAAAGAACTGAGCCCAGAGATGCGTGTAGGCGGAAGCCGAAAAAAATCACGGAAGTATGTTACGAGTTCATCAAGGCCATTGAAAACCCCAGGTGGAATTTTCATATTTTGTGCACAGCAAGTCGTACGAAGAAGAGGAGTGAATTGAGGGATGATCAAATGCGAAAAGAATGAAAATAGAAGGTTGGATTAGTGAAACGAAGATGGGAAAGAGCGAAGTGGAGAATTCAGGTGAAATAGGCTATGATGTGGAGCGGCGTAGAGGGAAGGAAGGAGGGATGGTGAAGATTGGAAAAATAATGATATTAATAACTAGGCGGTATCTGGAGAGGTAAGACCTCAAATATAAGTATAGAAGATTGAATCGTGTCCGGATCGGTGGTTTCTAAGACAACGAGTTGACACAAGTAACAGGAGGCGCTGAAGTGGTAAGATCCCAGTTGGCTACCTTGACCTAATTTGAGCGCTAACTGGTCGAGCACAACCTATGAACCACCTAATAGCTACCCAAACTTCTCCTGAAGCTCTCGACATATGAAGCGGCAGTCACCTGGGCAAATAATACCTCTCGGTTTCTGCAAATTCGGAGAGAAAGAAAACCTTACTGTACATGAGTTTTAACCTTCTGATCAGTGATTTTGTCTGGTCTTCTCAGGAGATCTTAGGGCATGGTTCCGCCGTTCAGGTGACGTGAATAACTTACTGTTTTGCAAGCTGTTGATACGTCATTCAAGGAGAAGAACAGTCTGAGAACAGCCCAAATCCCTCTGTCTATCCTCTCTGGATTTTCGTTCAACTCTTAAAACACCACAAGGGGCTAGTCTTTGGACTTTATTTACCAGGTTTCAACCTCTTTTCAGATATAATGGCGCAACGACTTGATGAACAGCCAGGTGCAGCCGTATACAGGTGTCGCAAAGCCAAACAAAGATCTCTGCGCTGACAGCATTTATTTGACCAAATACGAAGTGTAGTACCGCACAGACTCTGGGTGTGTCCAACGAATAACTGGAACTAAGTTTGAGTGGCCAGTCATCAGTAGACCCGTTTCTTTCTCCATGGCTGTGTGAAAAAATGTGTACCATGGGGAGATTATACTACCTCCTTCCGATTAGCAGTGCTGAAAGACATTCTAAGCAACCTACCCGGCCCAATGCCAGTCAGTGGTCTTTCACTCTTTGAATCTGCGAATGTCTTCTCATGGACTCTTCGAGTGCGACTCGTACAATATGTCCCCCCATAAATCAAAGCCAGCGTATGGCATAAATGAAGAGCAAAGAATGCACGAAAAGTCACCCACTAAAATTGGGAACCGTAACGGAAGCAAGTTGGCTTCTCGAGACGCGCCAGATGACAGTGCCGTTCATGCTCAGTACATCCTTTAAGCTTTCAAACAGAATCTCCTACCATCTAGACATTCCTCCAGTCACGATGCAACCTGACCAGCAGTACGAAAATGTACGATATTTCGTTGAAGAATGGCTTAATGGGCTGTGTAGGAAGTCTTTTCACCATCCAGGAAAATCACTTGAAAGAGGGGTCTGGTGGTCGCAACAACGCATATTCTGTTGTCAAAGGCTTCTGGGTGAGAGGCGCCGAGCCTCGTAGAGCTCTCTCTTTGTACCAAGCATTTATTGATTTGATTACCAAAGCGGGTCTTCACAACTTTTACGATACTGGTGCAAGCGCTACTGGTCGGTTGAGATTCCGGTGCCACCTGTCTACCCTTCCGAAGATGGGAAGCTGATATCTTTAGGGAGGGCCGAGGAGCGCCTTACAGCAGAC